TCTTTCTTTCTTTCTTTCTTTCTTTCTTTCTTTCTTTCTTTCTTTCTTTCATCTTTTCTCCCCTCAGAGAGTCCCCCTTAAAATTTCTTGCAGGGCTGGTTTAGTGGTCACAAACTCCTTTAATTTTTGTTTGTCTGGGAAACTTTTTATCTCTCCTTCTATTTTCAATGACAGTCTTGATGGATAAAGAGTTCTTGGCTGCATATTTTTCTGATTCAGCACATTGAATATACCCTGCCACTCTTTTCTGGCCTGCCAAGTTTCTGTGGATAGGTCCGCTGCAAACCTGATCTGTCTTCCCTTGTAGGTTAGGGACTTTTTTTCCCTTGCTGTTTTCATAATTCTCTCTGTGCCTGAGTATTTTGTGAATTTGACTATGATATGCCTCGTTGATGGTCTGTTTTTGTTGAATCTAATGGGGGTCCTCTGTGCTTCCTGGATTTTGATGTCTGTGTCTTTCCCCAGGTTAGGAAAATTTTCTGCTATGATTTGCTCCCCTACCCCTTCTACCCCTATTTCTCTCTCTTCCTCTTTTGGGACCCCTATGATTCTGATGTTGTTCCTTTTTAATGAGTCACTAATTTCTCTAATTCTTAAATTGTGCTCTTTTGCCTTAATCTCCCTCTTTTTTTCTGCTTCATTATTGTCTATAAGTTTGTCCTCTATATCGCTGATTCTCTGTTCTGCCTCATCCATCCTTGCCGTCTCTGCATCCATCCGTGATTGCAGCTCAGTTACAGCACTTTTATTTCATTCTATTTTTTACTTCTTTATCTCTGCAGAAAGGGATTCTAATCTATTTTTGACTCTAGCTAGTATTCCTATTATTGTGATTCTAAATTCTGGTTCAGACATCTTGCTTGTATCTGTGTTGGTTAAATCCCTGGCTGTCGTTTCTGCGTGCTCTTTCTTTTGGGGTGAATTCCTTCATTTTGTCATTTTGAAGGGAGAAAAGGAATTAATGATGTAGAAAAATTAAAATTAAAAAATACTAATATTAAAAAATTAAAAACACACATATACACACACATCTAATAAATGATGCTAGATCCTAGGTGTGTTTTGGTCTGGGTGCTGAAAGTGGTTTGACAGATTAGAGAAAAAAAAGGTGGGGGAAGGAAATTGAGAATTTGAAGAAATGAATACACGGAAGTAGACTAAAATGAGATGATGGGAGTAAAATAGAATTTGAAAAAATTTACACAAAAGTAAAGAATGTAGTAGAAAAAAATTGAAGAAAAATATTTTTAACAAATATTAAAAATAAAAAATGAATTTTTCTCTTTCTGTTTTCAAGAAAAAGAAAAGAAATGAAAAAGAGAAAAAAATCGTTTGAAAATTTGAAAAAGTGAATACACTGTAGCAGACTAAAATAAAATGATGGAAGTAAAATATAATTTGAAAAAAAATTGCATAGGCAAAAAAATAGTAAAAAAATTAAAGAAAATATTTTTAATAGAAATCAAAAGTAAAAATGAAGTTTTTGTCTTTGCATTCACGAAAAAGAAAAGAAATGAAAAAGAGAAAAAAGAAAAAGTAAAAAAAAGGAAATCGTTTGAAATTTTGAAAAGGTGAATACACTGAAGTAGACTAAAATAAAATGATGGAAGTAAGATAGAATTTGAAAACATTTACACAAAAGTAAAAAATACATTTAAAAAATTAAAGCAAAATATTTTTAATAAAAATTGAAAATAAAAATGAATTTTTTCTTTCTGTATTCAAGAAAAAGTAGTGTAAAAGAGAAAAAAAAGAAAAAAAACAAAGAAAGAAAATTGAATAGAAGGACCTGCTAACAGATTGAAATAGGACTGGAATTACTTCATTTTCCCCTAGAAGTCAGACTATGTACCACTTTATAGTCCTTAAACTAAGTAGGAGGTGAGACTTGTGTTCTTGAAGAGCGAGGTTGGTCCAGTTGGGTGGGGCTCAGTGTAATGGCTCCATTCTCCTCTAGATGGCGCTGCTAGCCTACTGGGGTGGATTGTTGCCCCACTGGTAAATGCATATGCGCATGCGCGGGATAGGTGAAACTTGTGTCACCCAAGTATCCAGTCTCTAGTGTCGGAACTGTTCTCCCGGATCAGCAATCGCGCACCCATCCTGTCTTCAGGTTTCATCCACTCCCTGCTTCTTCACTGTCCGTGACCAAGCCCCAGGCCGTACTTCCCTGCCGAGTTTTGTCTCATGTGGCTGTTTCGCTGGCCCCTTACTTCTGAAAGACTGCGGCTTTGACCCTTTCCGCCCCTCTGAGGGAGGGTCTCACCGAGCAATGGCTGAATGCCAGCTGCACCCAGGAACGCTTGCGGGACCCTGCTGCTGCCGGTTTCTCGAGACTGCAGCCAGGTGCCAGCCCGCCCAGAAAACTTCAAGCGATAGTGTAGCAGCAGCATTTCAGGGATTATGGGAAATCACAGTACACATCTGGCACCAGGCTTCACCCTTAAAGACCTTGTTCCAGCACCAGCGAATGTGGCCGTTTTCTGGGATCTGCTGGGACCAGGTGGCTTCAACAGTCTCCACCAAATGTCCTTCCAGCAATGGAACCGCTTTTCTCCGTGTGGTCCGAGAACCCCCTGGACCCCGTTCTGCTCCTGGGGATTCGCCCTTTTCACCCGAGCACCTACAGGTATGGAGCTGTGGAGTTGCAACCTTTGCGCTCCCCTTGTTTACAGTCTTAGTGGAATTTAAACCCTCTCCTTTCTCCTTTCTCCCTTTTTAGTTTAGTCCTTGTGTTGTTTCCAATTTTCCACTTTCTCTCCAGCTGCTTTTGGGGAAGGGTGCTTTTCCCGTATGCTCCCCTCCCCCCAGTCTCCGTCCTCTCTTCACCTGCAAACGCCGCTCCCTGCCTGCCGCCGGCTTCTGTCCCCAAGTTCACCTCTCCACACCACGTACCTGCTGAATTCTGTGGTTCAGGTTGTGCAGATTGTTGTGTTAATCCTCCAATCAGTTTTCTAGGTGTGTAGGACGGTTTAGTGTTGGTCTGGCTGTATTTCATGGACGCGAGATACACAAAAAACTTCCATGCTGTTTCGCCATCTTGGCTCCTCCCAACAACCTAAGTCTTATCTGGAATAGCCTCTGTGTACTTTTCCATATTTCATGCATATACGGGGTAAAATAATGTATCTTTTGAAATATTCTCATTTGCTGGCCTATTTGATTACCATTTTCACTTCAAAACATTTGTTAGTCCATGATTTTTTTAAAAAAGAAAATCTGAAAAGACTATTTTTAATTTAATGCTGTCCACATTAAACTGCAGAAAACACCAGCTTCCCTTTGATTTTGAATTAAGTATGAATTATACCTGAATAATTGCCAAAAGTATGGTCGAAATTTGGTCCAGTAAAAGGAGGAAATGTGTTTCCCTGAATCCTTTCCCATTCATTATCATCATTTAGATCCTGGACCCAGAAACAAAAGCCATCTTCAAAATCACAGTTAATTTTCTCATAATCTGTGAATTAAAAAAAGAGGAAGAAAATACTTCAAATTTAGCCCACAGTGTGACTAATTGTAACCGATTGCATCAAAAATAATCTAGTCTTATACAGTCTTGTATATCTATAATTGTCATGCACATAGTCTTTTTTAATTCATCTTCATTCTGTTTCATTCCATTTTGAAAAAAAATAGCTTTTTGTTGCCAACTGTCTTAAATTAATATGCTTCCTATATCCCAGTAGGCCTTTAGCAAAGCAAGCTTCTTTTTCTTAGTATTCTTTAATTTTACATCTGATCTCTATTGGTTTACCCAGAATATTGGTCAATATTCTGGAATATTCTAAGAATTAATTTTATGCATATGTGTGTGTATACATATATGAAACTTTGTAATTTTTCTGGAATTGATTATTTGATTCTTTTGAAGAACATGAACTATTTTCTAATTTCTCAATTTTCCTAAGTATCAAGGAGAGAGAGCTATACATGAGATACTCATTAAAGAACCTGCATAATAAAACAAATTATGACATTGTTCTAAAACTTTAAATTCTGCTACTTTTAAAATTCCATTACAATATTAAAGCATCTTAAAATTCAAAGGCTAAATAGTAAACAATACTTACTATTAAGCTCTGTGCTATTAAATGCAGTATATGTCACAGTAAATCCAATGTAATCATTTTCATCAGATTCTATAAGGAAGGTGGCAGTAACCTGGTTGGAAAAGACCCTAATTGTGCCAGGATTGGTTTCCCAGAGAGAAGCTACAAAAAAAAAAAATGAATGACTATTATATACTTATAGATCTGTTCATCCATCCATCCATCCTTCTGCCCATCCGTCAATTTATTATTCTATCAAAAATTGATTCATCAATCTATATTATACCACTCAGTATAATGAGCACTAGTAGTGATTAATTGGTTAATTGAAATGTCTCTTCTCCTAAGTGTTAGAAAACCTCAAATTATTATACATATTTATGGTTTGAAAAAGCTATATTTTTGTTTTTAATTATTAGCTGCACAACACTATATACTCATAAAAAGAAAAGATGCATCCCTTTATTGAAAAATTTCCTCTAAGAAACACACAAACTAAGCAGTTATAAAACTAAAAATTTGGCTCTGTCAGGTATTGCTCATGCCACACTAATAATGGCTAAATCTTGGTCACAATAATAGAAGCAAGAGTAGTTTTTTGTCTTTCTACCCATATAACGGTTGGACCAGACAGAGTAGAGTGGGCACATGTATATTAGTGAATTCCCCGCCCTCTATTCGGCTTCTATTACTGTCCATGTATATAATGACAATGGTTATGAAAGGACAATACCACCTATACCTATCATTTAATGAGCCTACATCCTGGGGTAGCCATTGTTTTACTCGTTGTATTCATAATAGTCTTGCAAAAGACTGAATAGTAGAGTGCATGTTGAAAATAGGAAGACATTCTGTGAGTTTATAACCAATGCAATGTTAGAGAAAATGAGAACAATGATTTTTGAGGTTTGTCTGAATTTTGCTTAATGGGGAGAAACAAACAAAGCATAGTAGCCAAAGACACAATTATATTTCTTTGGAAAATTCCATCTTATTTTAAAAAATAGTTAGAAGAGGGTAATGTGAAGTAGTAACCATTTTACTACTAAGAAGATTGATCACATAGGGAACTAAATTGTTCATTTTTATAATGAAAACCAGTTTTGCCTTTTCCTTTCAGTAACTTAAATTTCAAGTCCATATTCAGTTTAAAATCAAAGTCAAAACACATCACTTCAAAGAGTTTACTACATATTTTCATTTTGATAATGGATTGTATATTTGTTTTAACTTACCTCTTAAAATCTTGTTTGTACCCACACCTTCATAAATATTTAATACATCTGTGTAATATGTATTAAAGTCATCGAAGCTCAGTTTAATGGAGAGTCCTTGATTTACACTAAATTAAGCAAAAAATAGGTTACTACACTCTTAACAAGTTGTCAAAACTCTTTATGCATTCTAAAATTTGGATGCATTTTCTAATTGGGATTTAAAAATCACATAACATGAGATTGATGCTCAATGAATTTTTAAGCTTATGATACAGAACTGTTATCGATAAGCACAATGTTGTACAGCAGATCTCTAGGACTTTTTCCACTTTGTGTTACTGAAACTGTATACCATTGGACAGTAATTCCCCATTTCACCCTCCCTCTGTCCCTGGAAACCAGCATTCTACTTTCTGTCTCTATGAATTTGAATAGTTTAGATGCTTCATATAAATAGAATCATGCAGTATTTGCCCCTCTGTAAAAAGTTTATTTCACTTCACATGATATCTTCAAAGTTCACCCATGTTGTTGCATATGACAGGATTTCCTTCCTTTAATGACTGAAAAATATTCCCTTGTATGTATGTACCACAATTTTTTTATTCATTCCTCAGTCATGGACATTGAGGTTGTTTCCATTCCTTGGCTGTTGTGAATAATGCTGCAGTGGGAGTGAACATGGGATTGCAAATATCTCTTAGAGATTTTGTTTTTAACTCTTTTGGATAAATATCCAGAAGTGGGATTGCTGGATCATACAGTAGTTCTATTTTTAAAATTATGAAGAACCTCTCTGTATTGTTTTCCATCGTTACCACACCATTTCACATTCTATCAACGGTGCACATGGTTCTATTTCCTCCACTTCCTCACCAAATTTATAACATTTTGGTTTTTTTTTAATCATTGTGATTTTAATTTGCATATCCTTGATGATTGTTGATGTTGAGCAACTTTTCACATGTTTGTTGACTATTTGTATGTCTTCTTTGGAGAGGTACCTATTTGAGATTTTTGTCCATCTTTTTAAATTAGATATTTGGTTTTTGTTTTGTTTGGTTTTGTTTTTTTGCTATGTAGTTGTAATAGTTCCTAATATATTTTGGGTATTACCACTTTATCAGGTATATGGCTTGCAAATATTACCTTCCATTCCATAGGTTGCCTTTTTACTCTATTGATTTCTTCCTTTGCTGTGTGGGATGATTTTAATGTGACATAATGCCACTTGTCTATTTTTGCTTTAGTTGTCTACGCAACTAAAGGAAATCACTGTGATGACTAATGTTATGAAGAGTTCTATTTTTTTTATGTATGTGAGATATGATTGTGTGGTATTTGGTTGATATGGGTGTGGTGGATTTGTCGTATGTGTGTTGATTGCATATTTGTTGTTTATGTGTGGGGTGAATATGGTGTTTGTATGTATGTGTGTACTGAGTGTGTCTCATGTGTGTGATATGTGTGGTATTCCAAATGGTGTTTGTGTATGATGCATGCAATAGGTATGTGTGTTGTATTTGTGGTGTTTGTTGTATATGTGTTGTTTATATGTGGTGTGTGTGGTATGTGTCTTGTGTGAATATTATGTGTATTTGTGTGCTGTATGTGTGATTCATGTGTGGTATGTGGCTGGTGTATGAATGATGTATTTCCTATCTTTTCTTCTAGGAATTTTATGATTTCTGGTCATACATTTAGGTATTTAATCCATTTTATGTTGATTTTCTATGGTGTAAGATAAGGGTCCAATTTTAGTTTTCTGTATGTGAATATCCAGTTTTACCAACACTGTTTGTTGAAGAGACTGTTGTATTCCCCTTGTGTAGTCCTGGGACCCCTAACAAAGATCATTTAACCATAGGGTGTGGGTTTATTTCTGGGTTCTCTATTCTGTTCTATTGGTCTATGTACTTGTTTTTATGCTAGTACCATGCTGTTTTGATTACTGTAGCTTTGTAATGTATTTTAAAACCAGGAAGTATGAGGCCTCCAGCTTTGTTCTTTTTCTCAAGGTTGCTTTGGTTATTTAGGGTCTTTTATGAGTTAATATGAATTTTAGAATTCTTTCTTTAATATTTTTGTAAGAATATGGCATTAGGATTTTGATAGAGATTGTATTGAATCCATAGATCATTTTCAGTAGTATGGACATTAATATATTATTACATTTTAACAATATTAAGTCTTCCAATCCACGAACATGAGATGTCTTCCCATTATTTGTGTCTTCTTTAAATTCTTTCAACTATGTTTTGTAGTTTTCAGTGTACAAGTCTTAACCTCCTTGGTTAAGTTTATTCCTAGGTACTTTATTCTTTTTGGTGCTATTGTAAATAGGTTTGTTCCTTAATTTCTTTTCTGGACTATTCATTGTTAGTGTATGGAAACACACATGATTTTTTATATGAATTTTGTATACTGCAACTTTGTTGATTTCTTTTATTAGTTCTAACAGATTGTCTGTGTGTGTGTATTTTTGTGATTTTCTACATATGCAATCTTGTCAGTTCTTATGTGATCTTGCAAATGGTGGCAGCCATTTATACAAATTCTGCCTCAGTTAGGTCAGTTTAGAGGTGGGTGAGTGAGCCTGGTAGTGCGACCTCAGGACTCCAGTGTCAAAGTTTAAGAAGACATGGGAAGAAGAAATGAAGTAGGCTTCAGAGTGATTTCTAGTTTTTTAATTGAACTTTTGATGTCTTTAGGGAAGAATAAAATGAATTTTCCTTCATGTGTTATTTTTAAGCTATAAAGCTGAGAGATACAAGAGAAACTCCTTAGGAAATTTTGCTTTCAGGATTCCTTTACTTTTCTTTATGTATAAAGTTGAAGGTACAAGAGAGAAACTAGTGAGTATTTCTTCTGACTCAGAAAAGCCAACTTGCAATAAAAATTTGGTCATTTATTGATAGAAGACTAATTAGAAAATATAATATCAGTTTTTTAAAATGTAGACATGGTTATCTTTTGATTTTTAAGGGAATGGGTATTTTTCTAAATATAACTTATGCATTTTGTATTTTTGTATCAATAGCTAATCTTTTTAAAGCCCAGTTTTTTTTGATAATTTAATATGGGGCTAAGCCCTTTACATTCATTACTACATTTAATAATGACTTTGGCCTCTGAATTTAGAGATGTTGAACTCTAAGGGTGTAGAAATTTTGGGTCAAAGAGATTTAGTTATTAGCTAGAGATCACATATTTTGAATCTGTAGAGGGAAGATTTGAATTCATACAGATTGTCTCGGGTGCTCATATTCTTCATATTTGATTCTCTGCTAAATGTAGTTTTAATATAATTCCAACGATGGGCTGGTCTAGACTAAAATATAGTTTAATTGCATCTTAAACATTTCTCCACCATTTAATGGTCTTCAAGCTTATAGGAAACATGATTATCTTTATGACCCCCTTTGATCATAATTAGGAAAAACAAACTATCAAAGACAATGTATCACCATTGTAGTAACCAGTTTCAAGAAGAAAAACAAAATACTTAGGTTGTTTATATGATTAATTAATTCATGATTTCATCTTGAAGTGCAGTGTTTAGGGTAACATTTTAGGTCCTTTGGGGTTTGGAAATCATTGCTGCACTAACGGTGTATTTCTTAAAAATGGTTTTAAAAATTAAGTAATGGAAAAAAAGTAAAAAAGAATAGAACCATACAAATCCTTAATTAACATAGTTTGATTGTTACATAAATGATATTACTACTATGGCAAAAGTTTGTTGGGTTCTCCTTATAAACTCTCCTACAAGTTTGATCCAGTTTTATTAAGCATTTAACAATTAAATTTAACAATTAAATTATATTTATTTGGTGTGAATAAAATTTCAAAGATTGCATGAAGAAATAATTTAGGATTCATGTTCTTTCCATTTTCAGAGAAAGTAATTTAAGATTTTTCTAAACCTTTCTGCTGACATTTTAAGTAAGGAATAGAATATTTTTCATTTTACTTGTAATCAATGCTAATAGCCATTTATAAATGCTTCTTTTTAAATTTGATCTGATTCTATTAGAAACAATATCCCCCAAATTGGTTAATTCTTCACTTGACAAGTGAGCTGTCATTTTGAATACAAAATCTTATCTTTGGCATACAAGTAACATGTTGTCTAGAGCATGAAAACATATCTTACATGTGGCTGAACTCCAAAATAGAAATTATTTAAAGAGAACAGAATGTTCTTCTTCCCTTCATGAATTTGAAGGGAAATACGAATTTCCCTTCATATCCCATCTTATCTCTGGGGTATGTCTACACAAGGAAACAACACTGTGAATCTTTATGGAACCATTTTCTATCATACATGGTTGGCAAGAATGTGTTTGGCATTGCCTTATAACCTTCTTTAATCAGTCGTAATGTTGATTTCCCCTAGTTTTCTAGTGAGTCATGACAATGATTAAAACTATTATACAGCAAGTTGGATTGGGAAACCACAGTCCTACCCAGCTGTTAAGAGAAATGAACTAACTAGAATGTCATTTATCAAAGTGAATTCCAGAGAATGTTTATTCTTCATGCTCTGTGGAGAAAAATGATCAGTGGCTTAAGATGATTTTTTTTTAAATTTATATTGCTCATTAACTTATTTAAACTGAACTTAAAAAGTTATAATGAGTTTATTTCAGCTTTGCTTTTATTTATTTGAGTACAAATTATTTTCCTTTGGAATCTGGGAGGAACATCAGATACTGCTCCTGTGTGCAAAATGCTTAGATAAACATTGAGGTCAATCAGTCTTCAGCAGTTTAATTATTTGGATCATCATAATGATTGAATTAGTGGATTGAATTAAGAGCTTGGAGGTCAATATCATGTATTTGACATGCTAACTGATCTTAGTGTTATTCAAGATCTAGCTACTATTGTCTAGTAGGATGTGTATAGAGGGTGTCCCCAACTCTTAATCTGCCATGACTAAATCACATCAGAGGACATTTTCATATAGATGCTGGCATAATGAGAAAAGAATCCTTGGTGGCCAGGATGCAAGTAATGGGAAATATTATATATTGCAGTATATAGATGTAAATGTGTGCTGTTCACTTTGGCAACCCTTGATTTGTGCCAATCATAAGGGGGGGAAAGTTTGCCACAGAATCCTACGATGGCCCCATTAATTAGACAGTATTACCCATAGGATAGAACACCTTTTTGAAGAATGAGAGAGAAACTTCTAGGACAGGTTATCAGTTGGGAAGACTGCTTCATAGCCAGTGAAAATGATTGTTAAAAAATAGACTACAATAGGTGGTAAGACTTATTGTATCAGGGAAAGACTTTATGACTTAACAACAGGGAATAGAAAATGATATATTACCGTATAATCCACTGGCAAACAACACTTGATTTAGAAGGCTTTGGGTAATGAACAGCCTGGAAGGACCCAGAAGTTCCAGTCAACAAAAACCTGCCATCACAAGCTGTGGCTGTGGAAAAAAATGAGAAGTCGTGTTAGACAAAAAACAGTCCTGGAAAGTTTTATCAAGTGAAATGGGATTCACATTGGCTAATGAACCCTTCACAGAACAGTTATGACTGAATCTGTATGACTGAAATGATCCAATAGGAGTAGATCAGATCTCATGTTTAAAATCTATTGCCAATTTTCATATACTTGCTCATAACTCACCATAGATTCCTTTAGAAAAGCATTTTACTTCTAAATGCCCATACCTAAACTGCATTTTTAGTATTTGTCACATTTTTTTTTTTAATTTTTTTTTTCAACGTTTATTTATTTTTGGGACAGAGAGAGACAGAGCATGAACGGAGGAGGGGCAGAGAGAGAGGGAGACAGAATCGGGTACAGGCTCCAGGCCCTGAGCCATCAGCCCAGAGCCTGACGCGGGGCTCGAACTCACGGACCGTGAGATCGTGACCTGGCTGAAGTCGGACGCTTAACCGACTGCGCCACCCAGGCGCCCCTGTCACATTTTTTTTTAAAGTGAGTACCTTTCAAAAAATTTATTTAATGTTTATTTATTATTGAGAGATAGAGAGAGACAGAGCAGTGCATAGGAGAGGCAGAGAGAGGAGAGACACAGAATCCGAAGCAGGCTTCATGTTCTGAGCTGTTAGCACAGATCCTGATGTGGGACTCGAACTCCCAAACTGCAAGATCATGACCTGAGCCCAAGTAGGACACTTAACCAACTGAGCCACCCAGGTGCCCCTATTTTTTCACATTTTTAAGGAAATAAATATATTTGAATTATAAACTCCTAATTTAGACAAATAGCTACTATTTTTTGGTCTTCTGTTCCTGATTAAATTGGAGGGAGGGTGAATTTTAAATATATGCATTCTGTGCTATGTCCTCCTGAAAATGATCACAATATGGCCAGGCAAATGATATATGTGGTGCCAGTGGCCTGTAGCAAATTCCATCCATCTGATCTATTCCACCCATCTTTTAAACTTCTTGCTTCTTTTGTATGAATTTGCTATCTCAATATTGTCATTCAATATTCCTGAATATGTCTTCTGCATTTCATGACTACTCATTTTCCTCTTTTAATTCTTGTAGCATATTTACTTCATATACTCTCTTTGATGTCTCGTGTTATTCGTTGTCTTTAACTTATATCTGAATCATTTCCAGCTAGTTTAAAATCTTACTGAAGGCATAAACCAGGAACCATAGCTCACTAATTTTTGTGTTCCCCTTACAGTTACAATGCATACTATGTGTTAAAAAATAAAAGCCATTTTTTCACAATCTTTAATTTTTCTTAGATTATTTTCTATATACTTTTTACTTACTACTCTTGATACTACATTTTAAAATAATTACTCCTAGAATGTGTCCTTTTTCTCTTGGTAGGTTGTTAATTCCTTATAGGCCAGAAGAATGGAGGATAGGGAGATTAAAAAAAATTACTAAAATTAAATTGCTGCTCTTAGAACGTGAGACTTAGAATAAGCTAATGGGTGGAAAATCTCATTGTAACATTATACAACATTTCTGTCAAGTAATTAAATACAAGCTATTATAGGACAACAAATATTTTATATGGACAAAGGAAAAAATTGACAAATTAAACAGCATATAGAAATCTTGGCAGAACTCTCTTGCTTTTGGTTGGCTTTTTGCTATTTTTGGTATTTTTTTAAAAGCATAAGAAATCACTTTATGATTGTAAGAGTGTAAGATTGTAAATTGTAAGACTCAGTCTGTTTAAAAACAATGAGCTAGGAATTAATTGCATTGGATTATAACTTGATAACCTGACTCCCAGCTGAAGACAAAAAACAAAACAACAAATAAGCAAAAAACTTGGAGAATTGAAAAGATAATCTAAGATAGAAGCATTAAGCACTGAAAAATCTTCGGAGATCTGGGAAAGGAAATGCAGAGTACTGTGACTTGTTGAGAGAACTGAATCTCCTTATGTGTAATTCTTACTGGAGCAAATAAAGATGATTATGGATAATTTGTATGATTTGAAAATAAACAGCAAAATATCTGATTATTTAATGCAGATTTAAGTAATTTTCTAGTTGTAAAAGGAAACCTCTCATTCACCCTCAACTCTCTGCAAACCATGCCAAATAAATGGGACAATTAATCCCTTAGCTTCAATGACTAGAAAAGTGAAAATAGTGCCTGCTTATATTTTAGGTGATATATGGAGCCTTCCAATCACTTTGTCAAAAAAGCATATGGACTTCAAGATTACAGGCAGTGCAAGCAAGTCCACTGTTATTTTAAATAGTTTATATTTGATGAGAAATCAATCTTGACAGTCCTAAAATGTAACTGCTATAATTGATGGAGTATTTGCTATGTGCCAGCCACTATTGTAAAGGTGTTATGTATGTATTAATGTGATCTTCACAACAACCTTACAAAGTTATGGGTGGGAAAAGTGAGGCACAGAGGGGTTAAGTAACTGGCAAAAGTTTTCCCAGATTATTAGTGACAATTCAAAGCCAGGCATTCTTACTCCTGAGCATACAGGGGTATACTACCTGATACCTCAATATATACAGCTATGGTGATGTTATCATTTACTCTTTGAACTTAAAAGGGGGGGCATGTGTGTGCAGAACTGTAAATAAGAGAAGAAACAGGATTTTAAAAAAAATTCCATCATTTTCACTGTTCTTAAAATTAAAATAGGGCACATCCAATAGAATTCTATGACAAATAGAAAGAAGCAAAAAAGATAGAAGGAAAATGGAACAAAACAGGACTGGCTTAAGAATTTATAAAACCAACTCGCAAATCTGGAAACATTTTAGGAATTCTTCACTTCTGCACACCCATTCACTACACTTTTGGGAGGTGGATCAGCAGCTCTGTGTTGTACAACAAAATTCAAAGTTTTCCAACAACCTGAGTTATGTCCCTGGTGGCAGGATAGTTGTAGGTTTGTCACACCCTTTTTCAGTCCCTTCTGGGTCCATCACTAGGCTGCACTTCCAATAATGGGCCATGTGACAGATCCTGGCCATGAAACTGTTGTGGAACTCATTATGTTTATTTCCAGATGTGATTCCTAAAAAGATCTTCTGAGACAGTCTTCCTTGTCTGTCAGTGGGTTGCAAAGGATCCAGGGGAGGACAAGAGACAGAGGGGATGAGAAAGGAACTGGTTTCCTGGATGCCTACACAGAGGGCAGCCCCTTGGATCAGGATGTGATAAATAAACTGTTACTATCTTAAATTGCAAAGATTGTTTACCATAGTACTTAGCCTATCCTTAGAAATATGATCAATTTTTCCAGTGTGCTATGAATTTGCTGACTTTCAGTAGGAATGGGCATTATGCACATCCAGTTCTGGTCTAAAGGGTCATTGATGAATTCTTGCATGTGACTGTTAAGAGTATTCTTAAGAAGCATATTCTGAAAGCATTAAAAAAAAAAAAACAACCAAAAACCACGATAGTATTGAGGTACTTATAATAGAAATGTTCAGAATGCCAAAATATTATTATTTCAAGGTGTCGACTTGTTCTAGGGGCCTTCTCATACATTCTTTCATTTAATTTCAGGATGTTTCTGGAGAACCTAATATTACACAAGACAATGAAGGGGGATAGCCTTTCAGCAAAATAGATCTAACCCAGCCATGGATAAGTATGATAACTGGCGTTCAGGATTATGACTTTTTAGACTGCATAGTGCTTTACGGTGCAGCATGAAAAAAAAATCCTGAGTGGGAGATAAATGAGCTTGTCAAATAATATCAGGCATTTACTGAGCTCTATGAAAGGTGCCTGTAATGGGAGGGGATTCCTGAAAGTTATGCTCTCAGAACCTACTGAGAGCTCCCTCTGCTGGCTGAATATTTACTAGTTGTGCGCTTGCATAGGGCACTGAACTCTCCAGGATATATAAAACAAACATGATCTATGCCCATCCACCGAGGTCTATTGTGCACACATACAGAGGCATGCAAACAATCTATAGAGACGGTTGACAACTTCCAAATAGGTCTGAACATTGGTCTAAAGGCTGTGAGTCAGCATCTTTCCTTCTCATAGGTCAGCTAAAAAGCGAACTTTCCTGCTGATGCCATTCTAATCAGAAGAGAAAAACAATTTTAAAAACTCTTGGTTCAGCTACAGTCAGCTATAAGTTGCATAAGACCTAAATAACTAAAGACTAAAAAAGGAAGCTATGTGAGGAAGTCAACATTAATGTGACTCTATTAATAACACATACTGGAATTAGTATGGAGAAAAAAGAAAGAGAGAGAGAGTGCACAAGGGTCAATTTCATAGAGAATTCTCTTAAATTAATTTTTTGGGAATGTAGATTGATGGACACAAGCTTTCACATAGAAATTATGCTATTAGATGATCAGGTTGGTGCTGAGGTGAAGTGCACTAGGCTTTTGGGCTCACCATCATTAAGGATGAATGATGAACAAAACGTATAGGCCTGAATCCTAGCTGGATAAGGATAGATTCACTGATTGATTAGTCCACATTTATTCCACAAAGGCTTTAAATTTGTTTTCCAAGATAAATATAATGCTAATTTTAAAAATCAAATAGCGAAGAGAGCCAATAAAAATGAAAAATGAGCATCTAGAGACTTAAGAAAGTTAGTGACATGGATGGTAAAGAATTAATTCAGTTCTAATGCCAAGGCTCATGCCATTAATTTATAGTGACTTGGAAAAAAGAATTCATGACCTTGTAACTTATTTTAGGACAAATTGTTACACTAACATGATACTTCCACGGTTATTTTTGGAGATGCACTGACATTACTTTACCATGAACATTATTAACTCCATGACATTGAAGACCAAATAATAATAGGCGTAGTACATTTTCTGATTATTGAACTCATCTTACATATTTCCCTCTACTTAAGTTTATCAATTATCATTATATAGGCTTAAAGCTATGTGTCTAACTTTGGCATTCATTATTCTTTTTGAAATATTAAGAAACATCACCTTTGTTACCTCATGATGGCACACTTGTATCATATTCTCCCTGAAAAGCTTTTGGAAACTGCCTGGAAACCATAGCAAAAAAAGAATGTTGCTTTCTTCTTCTTTGAGTAACTTAGTTATATAAAATAGATTAAAAAATATTCTGTAGCCTGCACTTTCTTCCAATATGCTCTGAGTGCACTTCAAAGTATGTAGTTAAACTTTGAAGGTTTGAATTTTATCAAAGAACATTTGAATTGGGATTGCTTAGTAGAAGCCTCTTTAGTCAAGTTGCCTTTTTTTTGAGTCGCTCCTGGAAAACAGGCCAACTGCCTGTCTTTTAAAGTGAGTACCGAGTGGATAGGTAACTTTTTAAGCTTTGGTTGCTTTTGGAGCACTCATCTTCAATTAATGTCATACAAGAAGCACAAAATGCAACAAATAAAAGAAGAGCAAGTGTAGAAAGTTGTAACTACAACCTTTGTACATTTCAGGAACTAATTGTGCTCATGGTCAATTTTAAGACTGATTATAAACCACAACACAGATGTGTTCAATTCATGCTTTCTGTTTAATTGTTTAAGAAAAAATTATAAATTAGAATTGTTCCTATAATTCTTCACCTTGCTTATCAATCTATATTTGTAGTTATGTGATAATCTTTCATATATATGCTGCACAACTATCAAATGAAATAAGTCAAAAAGTAAATATGTTTAAATCACTTAGAGTCATGCTTGGCATATAGTAAGTACTACTTAAGTGTATAATAATAATAATAATAATAATAACAACAACACTTAAAACAGATGCCAAAGTTTACATATAAAACATGGATGTTTTATTCATAAGACAAGATCTTATTCATAACTGTTTCTATTATTCATAGAACTACAACTCAAGTACATTTTTTCTTACTTGTCTCCATGTCAAAGATCAAATAAAAGCAACAATCAAAATTAAGGAGCAGCAATTACTGAGTTAGAAGCCATTGAAATCACACACACAAAAAAAGATTGATATTATGGTGTAATGCTAAAAAAACATGAAAGTGCATCCAAATTCATAATAGTTTGGAGTAGTTTATTAAAGGATGAGAAACAATGACATTCCCTTCCCTCATTTATGACAGACATTAATCACAGCATTGTGTCCATAAACATCAAATAGAATTCCACTTAATCAGTGTCTAATATTGCATAAAATAGATTAGGAAAATATGAATATAATTATTTTTTTAGATTTTGTATTAAATTTAATCACGTGTATTGGAATATCTCTTTCTCCAGTAGTTTCTGGTAACTGAGGGATATGTGTTTGTGTGTACACAGTGAGGGAGGATGAAAAAGCAGTGGGGTGAGAAAATGTGGGGGACATTACTTACCACAAGTGTCATTGTCTTCATCAGAGCCATCTGGACAGTTAATTTCTCCATCACAAAATAAATCATTTGCTATGCACTTTAGAGCATCAGCACAAGGACTAGAACCAGGCAGGCATTCTATTGAGACATTTCCTTTAGAAAAAAAAGATTGAATTTGTAAATTTCTTGCATAGTACATTTAGTTGCCAACCATATGTACAACGTTTGGATATTTATTACGTATTTTTTTGTCATTTAGGTCTTTACTCAGAGCATGTATTTCAATTTCCAAAGTAAATATTCATTTCATTTAATTAATTAGTCATTTGTAAAAGAAGCTTAGAATTTTAAATTTGGAAAAGAAGATATATATTCCTTCATAGATGTTGAATATGAATGTTTAATTTCTTGATTTTAACCTTGATAAATTAATACTATAGTTTGGACATTTAGCTCCTAATGATTACACCTCCTACGATTGTTTATACGTGTTCTGTGGGGCAATTTGTTGGAATGTTTTTCACATTATCTGCAGTATCCAGTAACCACTTCATTTACTTATAAACTTATTATTTGAAAATATGGGGGCTGAAGTAACGTTTACATTCTGCAGAACAAAATTTGTTGGTGATGGCCATTTTATAGTAGAATAAAACACTTAAAATTCCTGGTACATAGCTACATTGAGAAATGAATAAACCCAATCGCTATTTCCATTCAGTATTTCTTTGCTTCTTGAGTCAGAGATTCTTAGTGGGAAAGATACAAACATTGCCCTGAAGAATTCTATGCCATTCTCTGACCAGAATCCGATCCATTTGCTATCCTCAGCCTGTCTTGTGCTTCACCTGCTCCTCTTCCATATGCCTACATGCAGGCATGGATCAAGAAACACATTTTACTTCTAGAAATTAACTTGGAAAAATTAAGTGCGATACTTAAAAATGGAATATTCTGCACTGCACTGCCATCTGCTGGGTTTTAAAAATATATTTGATTCTGAAATTTCTCCTTGTGTTCCACAAAATTAATTGAGAAAATGAAAGTGCATGTGTCAATTAATCTACTAAGGTAATACCTAATTTGGGACATTTATGGACAGTATTGCTGGGGATATATTCAACTAAATTAGACTTTTGTAATTGGCTCTAATTAAAATGAATATAAACCAGTGGGAAATTCATGGTCGATCACCTAACATCTAAAACAGGACATGATAAAGATCACAGCCATTGTAAAGGACAGAGCACCCCCATTTAAGGGAATAAAAAAATGGTAAACAGGGTATTGAATAAGCCCAAAAGCATATTACAACTGTTGATATACATGAGATACTTACATAAGAGTCCTTAGTCATTGAATCCCTAATCTAAGAAAGGCATAGCATTGATACTATTCCATAAATGCTTGCTAAATAACAAAAAAGCATTATTCTAGGAAATCTATATATAATTTTAACAGTAGTTAATAGAATTCTAAGTATTTAGCATTTAAAGGAGCAATTGAGGAATACAGCTAAGAAGATGTATAATTTTGTCTGTCCTAATGCTTCTCATGGGAACTTCATGATGATTCACATGTCTGTCTGTGGCTTACTGAACTCTATAGATTGAGCATCAAAGCCACACTTGCAAGTGATAACAATTGGGATCTTTTGATCTTATTAATGATCATTTATTCACTACACAAGTATTTATTGTTTATTTATTTAGTTCAAAAATTTTTAAGGAATGGAGATAAAAGGATGACTAAGACATAGCCTCTATTCTCACGAAGCTTGGACTTTAGTGAAAAACTAGTTCATTAACTTTTTTTTTTTTTAAAGAGGTATAAAAAAGTGCAATGGAAGCACCAAGGGTTAGGCAATTATTTTCCTTTTGAGTCAGAAACTGAAAACATCTTCATATAAACTAGGTTTTAAAGGATTCTTAGAAATGTACCAGGGAGAGGGAAATATGGAATGCATACATGGTGATGTGACAAAACACATCAATATATGGAACACAGGTAAGTCTAAACTTATCTCGATATTTGTGAAGGCCATGGCAGGAAGGGAGTTTGGTGTCAAGTCTAAAAGAGTTTTCTTTAATTTTTGTTAAATGACGGAAATATTTTTTCTGAAATTTTTTGCATATGTGTGGTATAGTCAGTCCATGTGTCATTAAGGCAACCCTGGGACCAAGTGGAAAATCAAGTAGAGTAAGGAGGCCAACTGAGAAGCTGTTTTTATGGTCAAGGTGAAAGTGGTTAAGGATTGGAACTCTGACGAGCTCCTACTAGTGGATAAGGGTAGCAACTTGGCCCTGGTAGAGGAGAGTACAATTGCTATTTTACAAGTGTAATAGATGAATTTTGGTGATTAGATGTGCTCCTGACTGGAGAGGTGGAAAAAAGGACACTTTTGGAGTGGCCCATTGAATTATTCATGGTCATTAGTCACCACGGTAATAAGAGGAACCCCTGGGGGGATTAGAAAATGATTCTAATTTGAAGTATTTTGATTTGAAGGTGGAAATATTAGGTACTCTAGTTTGGGTTGTACTCTATTTTCCCAGACTGTTTCACAAGCACCTTTCAGCTGCCTTTGTCCATGAAGAAAGAGAAGTTCTTCATATCAAAACCGATATAGAAAATATAAATATAATTGTTACATAAGGATGGAACATTTGGAGATTTTATCAGATTGTATTTTTACCTTGTGTTCTGTCTTTCTTTCATCTCCTTGTATACACATATATGATGATAATTTCCAACAAAACGATTCACTACAACATTAACTTTCACAGAAATTAGCCAGTTTTTAAAAATGACCTTCCATTCTTAAAACTAGAGTTCTTCAATTTGTGTACTACTTTGTTTGCCATTTCATTTCACAATATTTTGCTCTGGTGTTTCTCTTCTAAGAACTCTGTACTGTACTTCTCAATAGGGAATTTCTAGGAAAGGAGTTAAATAACTATATTTAAATTTTTTTTCCAACGTTTATTTATTTTTGGGACAGAGAGAGACAGAGCATGAACGGGGAACGGGCAGAGAGAGAGGGAGACACAGAATCGGAAACAGGCTCCAGGCTCTGAGCCATCAGCCCAGAGCCCGACGCGGGGCTCGAACTCACGGACCGCGAGATCGTGACCTGGCTGAAGTCGGACACTTAACCGACTGTGCCACCCAGGCGCCCCGCAAATAACTATATTTAAAGAAATGTGCACAGAGAGAATAATAATTGGCTCTGTTTACTAGAAGGTGAACAAATTACCTGAATATTAATTACTCTTATCTTGAGTGGGCAAAAAAAGTGTGCATGCATTTTCATATCTATATGGTATTTTATCATTGGCATACTATTTTTCTTTTGGCATTTTGTAAGAACCTACCTATTAATTAGTATTATTTAGGATTCTGCAAATGGAAGGTTTTGATTGTCCATTTATATTTGTACCATGAAGGATTCAGTATAAACCGAATGTGGTAACTCCAGAATGATCCAAAGCCACAACAATTTTCAGTGATTTGTGGTGAGGAATCTCCTGTGCTTACTTTGTGCAGGCCCTGTACTAGGCAGGTAGAGGATAAGAAGACAGAAATCCATTTATTTTGTTTTTCAAACCAGTTACAAGGAGTGTTACCTACAAGATAATAATTTTTAAATCATGTTTTGGAAATCTTGGATTTTTATTTTTCCTGTTACTTAAATGGAGATAATAATTCTTGGTGGACAAAACTGTTTGAGACAAGTTCAGCCCAAGTCCCTTATAACACACTTAGCAGTGAAAGTGGAGTCTGAATCCATGTATGCCTGCCTTTAGAGACTAAGTTTATTTCTCTACACTGTATTGGCAAAATAGATATCCCCTTACAGAAATTCTTATCAACTTCGATATAACTAATTTCATCTTTTTAGCAAGACCATGGCTGGTCAATCCAAATAAAATTACAGTGGAAAAATACTTTAACAGTTCTGGTGTCATATGCAAAGGGATGTTTTAGCAGTGTGCTTAGCAATATACATGCTGTTCTCTCAAATGCAGAGAAAGAAAAATACTTAAAATTCCATTTGGTGTTGGATAAAGTCCCTGTGTCTTAGTCCTTGGGAAATTCAACTGAAGAGTGTAATTCTACCTTAGCTTCTCTTGACCCAATTTAATGTTCTTTACTAAATCAGCCAATTCTTTTCTTCCAATCCCCAATCCCCTCCACATAGTAGTATTGGAGCAAGATTGCATTTTGTATGAAACTGAGAAAGTCCAAAATAGTGAAACTTTTGTTTTTCTGCAATCATTGCCTACGTAGTAAGCAACAAAAGACTAGAACAAGCTATATTCTAGAAATCCTTCAAGCATTTGAACAATCGCCCAGAACAGCCCCTCTTGGCTGTAGCAGCCAAGAAATCAATCAGTGGAATTCAATCCCAGTTCCCATCTTCCTCCTCCAGTGTTCCAAATGGGTTAATAAAACTTTACAGTAATTGGCAACAAAGGCAGTTGAACAATAGGACATAATCCTCATGGACTTTGTACTCGCTATCATACAAAAATTCTCTTTGGCAGAATTTATAATAGCACTAATGCCAGGTATATGATGCATGCATTTGTTGATTTTTCTCAAACTCTGTCTTCCAGGCACATAAAGATGAGAATAAACTTAACATCCCTGAAAGGCATATTCATAATAAATTACTGCTTGGAAACTGTGGTTTTCAAGTGTAATTGCCTCGTTCCCTCTATAAATCGATAGCATCTCGCTGTATGAGAGGCACAAATGGAATGGATGACTGGGGACTCATGGATCCAGTAAAAAAGGGAATATAAGATGTTCCCACTTCCTTACCTTAGTATGATTCTTTGAGGATTGATTAAAGTAATTCGATACAGTTTCCAATAATAAGAAAGCTTTGGAAATGGAGTTCTTTTAGTCAAATAAAATATCAGATTAAATGAACATTACCAGGTACAATGATCTTGTTTTAACCTTAGTTTAGTTTTTGAAATATTTCTAAAAAAAGTATTGCAACTCTTTTTTTTTTTCCTGTTTAACTCAGAAGGGGAAAGGGAGAAGGAATCTAACTTTGCATCAGTCATGAATTGAGACAGTGCGGTGTTATCGGTGTTATCTCTCTTTTAATTCTCATGATTGTTCTCTCAGATATGTATGTT